CTAAGGGGATTTTTGTAAAGTGCTTGCTCTTCCACCTAGGCATTACCAGGGCCAGTGCAGTCAAAGCCCAGAGTTACCTATGTTAACCCAGTGTTTACTTTCTTTAGTGGGCTCTTTTTTATTTTTCTCTTGGTCATATTGACTCCCTAATTGAAATTCTCTGACCCACAAAGGCAAAAGTTGGAAGAACTTCTGCCTTGGGCTACTGGAGGGAATCCCTGCCTGACAGGTGTGTGGGTGGCTCACATGGGCCAAACTGCTCATCTGAAGACTTGTCAGTTAAATCTTTAAAGCACTAAATCTAATGCTATCTAAAGCTGAAATGGGGTCGGGGGAGTGAGAAGAACAAATGACAGGTAGGTGTAAGTGGCACTCACTGAGACTAGATCTGTGAAAAAATTTCTTCAGTTGATTGCATTCATGAGATAAAAACAGAAAGGATGGGGCTGGAGAGATGGCTCAGCGGTTAAGAAAACTGGCTGTTCTTGCAGAAGACCCGGGTTCAAATCCCAGCACCCACATGGCAGCTAACAACTTTCCGTAACTCCAGTTCCCAGGGGATCTGACAGCCTTTTCTGTCCTCTACGGGCATTGCACGACACGGGTGCATTTACATACATGCAGGCATTACACTCACACACAAAAACTAAAAATAATAAATTAAAAAAACAGAAAAGATGTGAACTCTGCCCTTATTTATAGACAATAGATTGCTTAACTATTTACAAGCTGAGAACTATAAATGCCTATACAGTAGAAGCTCTGATTACCCTTTTAATATACATGTTGCTCAGTATATTTGTCATCATATATTTTCTTTCTTAAAAAATACTTTATTTATGGCCGGGCGTGGTGGTGCACGCCTTTAATCCCAGCACTTGGGAGGCAGAGGCAGGCAGATCTTTGTGAGTTCGAGGCCAGCCTGGTCTGCATAGTGAGCTCCAGGACAGTTGGGGCTACAAGGAGACCCTGTCTCAAAAAGACCAAAAAATTTATTTATTATTTTTATTTTATGTGTATGAATGTATTGCCTGAATGTATGTAAGTGCACCTGTGTCATACAATGCCCGCACAGGTCAGAACAGGGTGTTGGATTCCTTGGAACTGTAGTTATGGACCTTTGTTAGCAGCCATGTGGGTGCTGGGAACTGAACCTAGGTCCTCCGTAAGAGCAACCAACCGCTGGTCTTCACTGCTGAGCTATCTCTCCAGCCCCTGGAGAGAGGTTTTAACTCTAGGTGAGACATGAGTGTAAAGCTAATCTTTGTAAATGATACAAACAGAGGGCATGCATGTCTGCATGTCTTCAGGCGAAAGAAGTTCATATCATTAAGTGTACATTCCTGAAGATTTTTTAAAAATCTAGTTCGACACTATTCCCTGCTCTCATCATTGCATTAGTTCAGTAATACAAGTACAGGTTAATTATAACCTGAGGTTACTAATGGAGGAGAAGTAGCTTCTGGGATTACATTTGTTTTACTCTGTCTGCAAATGTGTTATTTCTTCCCTCCTTCCTCCACCTCCCCACATCTTCATCCTCTCTCTGCCTCCCTTTCTTCTTTTCTACGTTTTTTTTCTTGATAGTATATATTAACAACAAAAGTGTTTTCAAAATATAAATTTTTAGAAGTGAAAATAAGACTTTAGAATAACTTCCCTCTATATTATATTACGTATTTTATTCTTTTTTACAACGTCTTAAGCTATTCAAAGAAAGAAAACTCAGTAAAAATTTCAGCTAACAGGGGTTTGGAAGTGTAGCTCAGCGGTAGAATGCTAGCCTAACGTACATGAGGACCTGGGTCCATCCCAAAGATGACATTTTTTTTCAAGTTCACAGAGTTCTTTTAATAAGACAAAAGTGCATTTAACTGACTTCAGACTCATGCAAATGAATCAGGCTTTGGATCATGTAATTTATTCTACCTCTAAATAAAATAAAAGTAAAATAAAGTAATAGAGAAACTATTTTAACCTGTACATGTTCAGAAACCCAACACATAATTTGAAACAAAAACTATGGAACTTTCTTGGTTCCAAGGAAACATCTTTTGTAAAAGTATACCAGCTATGAAGTAGTTAATGTGAGAAGAACTCAATAAAAACTCCAACAATTCAAACACATTTGTCTGGGAAAGTATTCTTCTGAATAAACTAAAACTAGACTGCCTTCTGTTCAATTTGTTTAAGCATTACAAGGTTTATTGAGTGTGGTGATATTTACATTAACAATTACAATAAGGAAGAAGGCAATATAAGGGCTTTATATATAGGAAGTGCTCAAATACTAGAGTAAAATGAACACATTACTAAATATATTGTAAAATAAAATTTCCTTTTTAATATGGGACTACTGTTAGCTATAGATATACTACTTAAGTATTCAAGAATTGTTCATTTTTTAACCTTATTAGCACAGCAGTGGGCAAATCACTAGGGTGTCTTCTCATCAAGTTATATAAACGCTACAGCTTTGATCTGCAGGTATTTTCTAAGTAATATATTGTTTGTACCTATTTTAAAGTATAAACATTTTATAAAGTAAAAAACCCACTGTCTTTCTCTGAAAATTAAAGAAAAATGTAATAGCAGCTAAGTACATTTTCCTGATTCCACTTAGTACTCCTGACCTTTCAGGATGACAAATACAGACTGTTTCTCCAGAGTGAGTAGGCTGCATGGAGCCATTAATCCCTCTGGTCTCATTCACATTTTCTACAGGGAATTCTATCTCGATGCAAGTTCAGTGCATCATCCAGTGTGGCATACTATCTCACTCTTGCTGTCTCATGTCAGTAAAATCACTGAGATGAAAAACAAGCTGTTTTCAGGTATATGTTTTATCTTGTGCTGGGAAGAGGAGAGCTAGAGGGGAAAGAAAGACAAAAAGAGATGTAACATGAATTGAGCTTCCAGGATGTGCCAGTCTGCTAGGGGTTTTATATTTATGACCTTACTGACTTGTTAAAACAGCCTTGCCAAATGGTCTTCCCATACAGAAGTGGATCTGCAGACTTTCTACCTCAAATTGACTTTCCCACACAATAGAACTGAGATGCAAATACAAGTTCATCTGACTCCAAAATCTTCCGTTGTCCATTACATGGCATTGTGAATAAATCTATTCAGCATCTTATATCCTAGGTTCAGAGTCTACCAGAATGTAAGGTCTTTAAAGGAGGTAACTTGCATTTTTAAACCTTGCATCCTTAGCATCTAGCTTTGTGCCTAACATGTAGTACCTCTGTAACAAACAGGCTTTGAACCTATGATCCTTCTGCCTCAACTTCCAGAGTAGCCGTGATCATAGGCCTGCAGCATCAGACCAGCTTCTAACCCATAGTACATCAAAATAGAAAATTCGAATGTGTGAGGAAATCATCAAACTAATAAGGAAAAACACTATTAAAGTCGGAAGGACTCTAGTCCAACCATCTCATTATTAAAATTGGAAAACTGGGGACTGGAGAGATGGCTCAGCGGTTAAGAACAGTGACTGTTCTTGCAGAAGACCCAGGTTTGAGTCCCAGCACCCACATGGCAGTTAACAACTGTCCGTAACTCCAGTTCCAGGGGATCCAACAGCCTCTTCTGTTCTCCGTGGGCATTGCACAACACGGGTGCACTTACCTACATGCAGGCACTACAGTCATACACATAAAATAAAAATAATAAATAAAATATAAAAAATTGGAAAACCAAGGTCTAAAGAGATTAAGCCACCTTCCTTTGGTTAAGCAACTAATTAGTGAAAGACTCTGAATTTGATTTCAAGTCTCGTCTTTATTCTCCTCTTTAACATGCTTACAAAACGTTCACAAACATTTTAAAAAAGCATGTTCATCAAATTTATGCAGGCTCCTAAGCATTCTACTCTGTTGAATTCATTCTGTAATTGCAAGTTATTCTTCATTTGTGAAATGTAATGGAGATTAAGAATACCATTAGCAGGGCTTAACAGACGGCACAGTATTAAGAACATTTGTTGCTCTTGCAGAGGACCTGGGTTCAGTTCCCAGCATCTTCATGGTGGCTCACCACTTTCTATAATTTCAGTTCCAGGGGATCCAACACCCTCTTCTGACTTCTGTGGGCTCTGCACTTACTATATGATGCACTTACATATATGCAGGTAAACTACTCATACACATAAAGTAAAATAAAGTATTAAAAAAATACCATTAACTTACAGAATGGAAACTCCATGAGAATGGGGTGTGTTCAACTGAATGTGCCTGGCACTCAGTAAATATATGCTGAATAAATGAATATATATTCTGTTCTTGTCAGGGATGAGCAAATTCTTCATAGATGTTGACAGTTATCATATATTGTACTAACAAATATTCAAATGAGCAAACACTTCAGTAAAATTTCTAAGAGAGCCAGGCATGGTGGCACATGCCTTTAATCTCAGTACTCCGGAGGCAGAGGCGGGCAGATTCTTGTGAGATCGAGTCCAGACCAGCAGAGCAACAGGGAGACCCTGTCTCAAAAAGACAAAAAAAAAATTGCTCAGAGAAATGGTATTTTTATTTCTCTCCCCTTTCTTTATTCCTTCATCTTCTGATGTATAGTGATAGAAAATAATAGCATTCAACTCATCGGACTGTTGTAAAGGAAAAGAGTTAATCTATACAAAGCACTTTGCATGATGTTTAATACAGTTAACCCTCAATAAACAATGGCTGTTAGCATGAATAGGATTTCTTCAAATGAAACAAATAATAGTCCATGTAGTGATAAGATGAAAGAAACCAAAGATAAAATTTGTTGTATACCTGGTGAAATGTCTCCGAATACATAGTTCTACATGGACTTCAAAGTTTGCAAATTATCTGAGAGTTGAAAGTTATACATATAACATCATAAATACTTAAAAGTATGCTGTTTAGAATATGATTTGTGAAGCTAATGGAGGCAGGTACTTTAATCACCCTTCAGATACGGTGATTATTCCTCGAATGTTGCTATAAGTAACATTCACAAAAGATCACCTCTCCACGAGCTCTTGTCCATTCCAGCACAGGGTGTCATTCTCGGCCACCGGGCTGTGGCTGCAGACATAGCCAGGCAGAGCACTGTAGAAACTGATGAAAGATTTCAACTTCTGAATCAGTTCCCTGAAAGGAAAACAAAATATCTGCACATCAGACAAAAGTTTAATTTCCTTATCAGCATGACAGAAAAGCTCTGCCAGGCTGATTAGAGCAATAAATGATTTTTAAAGATATTCTTGGCTATAAGGGCACAAATTAGCTTTTAAAAAAAAATCAATAGAATGATACTGGCGGAGGGGGGCTCCCTTCCATATAAGGTGTTGTTACTATCAGAATGATGATTTAATTCCAACATCCATTTTCTCACATGTTCAGCAGCTTCCATTTTTTTTTTTTTGTTCTGAATGCTGTTACCAACATTCTCAAAGGTGCTGATTACAAGGCACACTGGAGCACTACATATCTTTTGGTTTTTGAGTGTAATTGAGTGCACTGATTGTAATTTACAATGCTATTACCCTAGAGATGGCCCCTTTCCACATAGGCTTTGGCTAATGGTTGCAGGAATTGCAGGGTGCTCAGAATAGTATAAGCTTTATGAAATTCTCATGATAATATAGTCAGAGTAACTCACATCTGCTAAGAGAAGGAAGGTTGCTTTGTTCTTTGTATATTTTTTTTTCCTGTGAGGGGGAGCATAGGGGAGAGGGCTGTAATATATATTATGATTTATTTGCTTTCATTTTTATGCTGTTTATGATAAGAAAAGTGGGCATCAGAGACAGCATATGTATAATGCAAATGCAAATGTGCATGAACATACACACATAAATTGTAGCAAAATTTCTTGTCTACTATCTTGTTTCAACTGTAGATATATACACAGGGTAAGCTATCAGACTGGATACATGAATACTTTTATGAAAAAATATTTAAATATTCATGTAATACATGTCCAGTAGCAAACAAAAATAAATATAGTTTATTTTCTAAAGCAATGCCCCTAATATAAATCTGCAGTGCTATCCATTTCCAAGTGTACCTTAAGTCTACACAAAGATTTTGGATATGCTGGTCAGGGAATTTTATGGCAGGGGAGTAATTACTCAAAACTCTCTCCAGGCTAAGAATGGAGTGTCCTGATGTACAGGCCTTTGGGGGCACCAGATGTGTGAATGTCATTTCAAGGATAGTGGAAGTCATGAGCCCAGCAGTGTGTTTTAGGGTTGTTCCCAGATGGGGCCAAAATTGAAAGACTGGTGGACATGATCTGGCAGTTCATGTCATTTTCCATAAAAGTAATATTTTCTTTTTTTAAAATTTCATATTATTATTATTATTATTGGTCTTTTTGAGACAGGGTCTCCCTGTAGCCCCATCTGTCCTGGAACTCACTATGTAGACCAGGCTGGCCTTGAACTCACAGAGATCCGCCTGCCTCTGCCTCCCGAGTGCTGGGATTAAAGGTGTGTGCCACCACGCCTGGCTCATTAAATTTTGTTTATTATTTTTATGTGTGTGCATGTGTTGCCTGCATGTAGGTAAGTGCACCTATGCCCACGGAGCTCAGAAGAGGCTGTCAGATCCCCTGGGACTGGGGTACGGACAGCTGTTAACTGCCATGTGGGTGCTGGCATTCAAACCGGGTCTTCTGCAAGAACAACCAGTGTTCTTAACCACTGAGCCATCTCTCCAGCCCCCAAAGTACTATTTTCAGTGAGCAAAAGAGAGAGGGAGGGAAGGAGGGAGGGAGGGAGGGAGGGAGGGAGGAGAGAATGAATTTTCAGTAACATGACTTCAAAGGGTCAGGTCATAGGAAAGCCAGAGTGATGATGGACAGAACAACTCACAAAACGTTATTGGGACATATATTCGGCCCCATACTTGAATAGTTACTTCCTGCTGTGTCCATACTCACTTCCCAGACTGTGCCTGGTGTCTGAGCACCGTCAATCTCCAAAGAAGAGAGGCTCAATAGTGAGCTCTGGAAATAAAAGTCAGCATTACAGCTTCTCAAGAGGAAAAAGATGGGTTCAATTAACAGCTAATAGGAGAGATGCTCTGTTTTACAAGGTAATAATACAGTTCCCAAGAGTGGAAGCTGAAAGACTAAAGGCTGAGGCTGAGTAATTCCTTCTACTCTGTAAGGAAATGGAATGTGGGCATTAGTGTATGGGAAATGATGGCTTGCTTTAATGAAAGACTTTCCCTTAGGCCTCCTTGTACCTCTATACCCACTCTCATGAACATGGAACATGGGAAGACAAATAGAACCCATAGTAAGGCCCTCCATGATATCCCTAGAAGTTAAAAACAAAGGCACCAGGAATTTTTCCCTGCTTTTCAACCCTTGTAGTTCTTAGCTGATCTAAATGCCAAAGGAATGAGGGGCTGCAGTAAACCTAAGAGCTCTGTTTTACTATGGTAGGCCATTACCTGTAAGGGTCAAGATGAAAATCTTAGAAAACGACAAAGAATGTGGATGATGTAGCACAGTTTGGATCATCACATTCTAGAACTGAGGGAAACTCTTTTGAAACTTGAACTAAGTAACTTGGAGAAATAAAAGTCCATCCTACTTCATAGAGTATTCAGTACCTCCTTCATCTAGGAGGGACACACGAAACTGCAGATTTATATTGTCAATTTAGAACACAGTTTCGTTTAGCGGCCACGTCATCATGGTTGGATTCTCAGAACAGCTCTTTCAAACCTGTTATAAGTAATAGCTGACAGCTCTGGCTTTGGAGTCTGACCCGGCTGAGTTTTAAGTACCAGGTGTCTCTCACGTACCCAGGAGTGCAACCATAGACAAATTCCAAACTTCTCTGAGCTTTGGCTTCCTTTCACATAAAAAGAAGGTGATAATAGTATCATGTTCCAATGGTTCCAATGGTTGCTATGACGACTGTATGAGACAATGTCTTGTCAGGTGTTTACCATGTTAACTGAACCTGGATGCTCTTAACTGTTGAGCCAGCCTCAAAGCATACACTTTAAATGGATGAATTGTATGGTGTTGGCGATATGTATTAGGGTAGTGAAAAGGTAGTAAATATGTCTCAGAGAAAGGGGCTTGTATTCTGGGGGGGTTGGGGGAAAGGATGCCTTTTGGTAATTGAATGGAGACAGGAGAGTCCAAGAAAGCAGATTTGGAGCCTTCTTTTACTTTTTGAGATAGGGTCTCACTAAGTTGTCATTAAGCAGGCCTTGAACTTGTGATCTTCTTGCCTTAGCTTTTGTAGCAGTCGGGATCAAGGCCTGTAACACCAGGCCTTGCTTGAGAAGAGAAATTTATTTATTTATTTATTTATTTATTTATTTATTTATTTATTTATTTATTTCATTTTGGCAATTTTGAGACAGAGTCTCTCTGTAGCCACAGCTGGCCAAGAACTCACTTGGTAGACCGAAATTGGCCTCAATCTCACAGAGATCCTTCTGTCTCTGCCTCCTAAGGTCTGGAATTAAAGGCATGTGCCACCACACGCCGCCTAAGAAGTGAAATTTATAAGAGCTCCAACTTTAGCTCAGAGATAGCTATAAACAGTACTTAAGTTTATTTTTCCTTCACCTTTTAAAATAAAGTCTTTTTCACTGTAAAAGAAATATGTGTTCATTATAAGGAATTTAGAAAATAAAGGAAGATAGAAGGATAAAACCCATTCATAGTCCCACTAGCCAGAGGTAGCTTGTTAATATTTGGGTATATTGTCTTCTAGACTTTTCTCCCAAGTAGAATCTTGCATTTATTTCTTTGAAGCCTACTCTTGATACATTTCTTCTCTAAGTTCTTTCTAGGTCTCAGGGTATGTTAACTCTGTTAGAAGCTACTTAGAATCAAGGTGGATTTAACTAAAAAGGAATATCAGAATAATGAAATAGAGGCCGAGGATGTAGCACAGTGGGCGAGGACCTGCCTAGCACGTGCAAGTTCCTGAATTCCAGCCCCAGCTCCACAAACAGCTGATTCTTAAATAATTCCCTGGCCTTGTGGAACGAAGCAGAAGCAGTATCCATCTTTTGGAGAAGTAAAAGCAGGACTCTAGCACAGACAGCAAACTGGCCAATATCTCAGAGTCCCCCAAAGGACACTTTCAATATACAGACTGCTCCTTTATGCAAAATCTTCTGCATTACTGTGGGAAAATAATCCTTGGTTTCCAAAAGAAATGTGGACTCTTAAAAATAAATGCAATCATACTATTTTTGAGGGCAATAAAAGACTCTGCAAACTGTTGGAGAGTCAATGAGCTTTTCAAAGGACAGTGACAACAGGTGATAATGTCCTCTGACATCATGGCAACAGAGTGTGACAGGAGCAGTTTACCTCCTACTGAGTTTGCTGTGCCTTGTTCATTTCTCCTTTTCTTTCTTTTCCTGTCATCCATTCTCAAACTTGTTCTAGCATGAAAGCTGTGTGTTTTATTTTTATGTTTTCTTAACTAAAGCTTTATACTATTCTGTTTATAATTTTAAAAGATGAGTTGACTATTTCTATTTTATTCTTCCTTAAAGCAAGACACTTGAAACTATGTGGCATATTAATTTCTCTCATTTTATCTTTGTGCTGGTAGCCCATGACAAATGCAAAAGAATCTACCAGTGAACTAAGGCAGGCAGCCTATTCAACTAACTTGCCTGAGATGGGAGAGACAAGTTGTTTGAGGGAAATGTTCTTTGATTCCAGTCCCACTTTATTCATATATATATGCCAAACATATCATTGACATGGAGAGAGTAGAGTTTATGGCTACCTCTTATGACAAAACCCAACATTTGCTTACAGTAGTGTGCTTAGGAAAGATTCTCTTCATAGGATTCCATTTAGTATGCAAAATTGGGAACTAAAGGATGAAGTTCCTTTGCATGCATGAACCATTTGGAAATACTGTAGCTGGGTGCATGTGATTTTCCCAAGGGAGCTTCCATCATTCCGAAGAGGGCACCCCTTCTTCAGATGTGGGGGAGGAGACTGCCTTTGCTTTCTCACAATGATCTGCTTGGGCAGGCATCAAAGCAGTGATAATTGGAAACCACTGCAAGTAAAAACAGCCTTTCATCCCTGACTGCAGATCCTGAACATTTTACTTGCTACTAAGGCTCTTTTAAAATGTAAAGTAATATAACATTATTGTTTAAAAAATGAAAACACAGAAAAGTACATAATCCTAAATAACTAAAATTGGAACAGTACAAGATCATGTCTAATTCTGCTGGAGGGAGACTTTCACAATTTAACTCCTAACTACAACTTTCTGTCACTGCAGACACCAGCATACTTCTCTTCCCATTCCCTTTGCCCAGAACACCCTCATTTTTTCTTGTTTATCTCTTGATTTTCTGTGTCTGTCTTAGGCTGAGTTCAAAAGCTACCTTATCCAAGTAGCCCATACAACCAGGAGAGCTGCCAATTCCTCCATGTGTGACACTGTCACTCTTTAGTACACAGCTCTTTTTGGGAACTCAAATTCAATAGAAGCTATTATGTGTATATCTGTCTTTTGATTAGACTAGAGATTCCTCTATTCATCAGAACTTAGGACTGACACAATACTGAACATATAGATGGGGTTAAATTTTTTTTGAAAGAAGTCCTGTTTAGGGCAGGATAACTTCTACCAGACCTGAACCTCATTGACTCATTCAAGATATACTTGTTTTTTTTCAGATGACAGAAGAACCACTGATCTTACAAAGCTGCCTAGCAAAACTTACACAGATGTTGTTTAAGAGGGAGCAGGAATTAACCTTGATTTGGCACCAGGGAGCTAAGATCAGCTTTTGTGTTTTTCTTTCTATGTAATTAACTACTGTCACCTAACCCACTGCCCCTTTAGACCCAATCAGAGGAAAGTAGAGGAAGAAGAATGCTGTAATACTTAGATGTAATTCCACAATGGTGGAAGGACTATAGCTTTACCACAGGTTAGCAGTTGGAGCAGAAGTTTGGTATATAGAAGCTAGACTATTCAAATACAGATTCTGGATTTGGAAAAGGGAAAAATATCTCTTATGTATTCTACCAAATAGCATCTGGGATATGAGAACAATGCATCACAAATGAAGTGATGAAAGAGAAATTCAGAAGTGCAAAGGAGGGAAGAGGCTGATAACTGAGATGTGTCAAAAATACTGCAGGTGGAAAGGGCTGTGATGATCTGATTGCTTCTATTTTGATGTAGTCCTTGTGTGTGGTATTATATGTCCAGTGTTTTAAATTTCATGATAGATATTATCAGTATGTATTATTCCTTAAAGGAACCTTGATCTCCACACATAGACCACTGGGTGAGTATAAAATCAACTTTAAATTGAACTAAGCAATCTCTAGTTGTGTGTTGCAAACTACCCAGTTGGGGGCAGATAAAACAAACAGATGATTTTCAAATGCTTCCAAAGGGATCCTGTGTTTCTTTGCGTGCTGTTACTTTAATCGAGCAATTCATAATCAGACTCAGACAACTCGTTCACAACCTCCACAGGGTGACTACTACAATAGAGTTCCTTTCCAATTCTCAAGTTTTCAACCACGAACATAGCTTGGACATGGGTGTGGAAGCTTGCTAGATGCATACATATCCATTTTTCTGGACAGAATGAAATGCTGTGCAAACATACTGGGAAATGTATCGAGGCACTCACGCCCTAACAAAACAAATCTTTCCAGTAATATTGGACTGTGGAGTAGTGCATTTAGCAAAACATCATCTCAAACCCCTTTTCTTCTTTCTCCCTAAGAGGGTTTACAATGCTTATCTGAGAGAGTTAAATAAAGTTAGACATTCTCTTGTTGTTTTGCTTGCTTTTTTGTTCTGTTGGGGAATTCAAAAAGAAAAGCTCCATCTCAGACTCTAGTGCTTCAGTTTGCAAGAGAAACATCACAAGGCAGGTTCATGCTCTAACACCCCAAGGAGTTCTGTCTAACTGTCATTAACTCAATTCTATAGATTTTGTCAGTTTTTCTTACTACCCTTCCATTTATTTGGAAGTTGCGTACAAATTCAAAAATGACTCTAGGGGCTGGAGAGATGGCTCACTGGTTAGGAGCACTGGCTGCTCTTGCACGGGACCTGGGTTCTGTTCCCAGCACCCACATGGCAGTAACAATCATCTGTAACTCCAGTTACAGGGGATCTGGTGCCCTCTTCTGACCTCTGCAGGCATTGCACAACACGGGTACACATATACATGCAGGCAATACACTCATACACATGAAATTTTTTAAAAATTGCAAAACGACTCTAAACAAAGTATTATATGTGGCTGTGTGTGTGGGGGGGATCTGCTTGATCAATTTCTTGTTTTTTGGAAGATTAGCATCCAGATCCACAGTCCTGCTCAGTAATGGAAAAGGGAAAAGATCCTACGGACTCTAAGATAAAAGTCAGGGGCCTTGATAAATCTCTTATTTATAAATGTATCTGGACTAATAAGTTGATTTCATTTCATTTATTTTTATTTTTAATCTTTAGTTGAAACATAAAAAGTTGTACATATTGACAGAGAAATTTCAAAATTGGACTGGGTTGACACATTTATTTTGACAAGGCTCCATATGTGATTCTGTTACAAATTACTATATTTCTTCTTCCATGAAGCCTCTCCAGAACAGAGGTTCTGTCTTTCTGTGTAGATTGCCTCTATACTCCAGACATTCTTGGTTCTGTCTTTCTGTGTAGATTGCCTCTATACTCCAGACATTCTTGGTTCTGTCTTTCTGTGTAGATTGCCTCTATACTCCAGACATTCTTGGTTCTGTCTTTCTGTGTAGATTGCCTCTATACTCCAGACATTCTTGGTTCTGTCTTTCTGTGTAGATTGCCTCTATACTCCAGACATTCTTTCGCTTTTGCTTTTAATCAAGGCTATTTTCCTACTAGACTGACCTAGAGAGCAGAGATTGTGATTTTTTTGTGTTTTCACTGTCCAATATATATTCTAGCACTAACAGGTGTTTGATAAATTACTGTTGAATTGAGGGGCTGGAGAGATGGCTCAGCGGTTAAGAACACTGACTGTTCTTGCAGAAGGCCCGGGTTCGAATCCCAGCACCCACACGGCAGCTAATAAGTGTCCGTTAACTCCAGTTCCAGGGAATCTGATAGTCTTCTTCTGTTCTCCGTGGGCATTGCATGAGACAGGTGCACTTATACACATGCAGGCAATATATGCATACATAAAATAAAAATAATAGATAAAATATTTTTAAAAAATTACTGCTGAATTGAAACAAGATAGACATATATAATTTACTTCAGTCAGATATGGGAATGTTCTACTAGTTAAAATCAAATGTCCTTCACAGGCCGAAGTGAACTCCTCAAATGTTTCAGACCAAGAATGAAGACAGAATCATACACAAAGGATAGGCAGAAGCCAAAGAGTAACTTAATACATGGCCTAGTAAGACAGAGACAGAAATGTTATAAAGTACCCTAAGCTACACAAAAATGGCTCTCGCTCATTTTTGTGTCATAGGGAGACATGTTGTGGTTCTCAAGTAGCTCTGAAATTCCTTGATACTCTTCCCTCTGGGACGCAAAGCTTAATTTCCTTCCTTTGGAGTGTATTAGAATTAACGCTTACTTAT